CTAGTGATCATGTGAACGGTGTTAAAAAAAGTGTATAATAATAGTTATAATAATAGTAATAATAATAATAATAATAATAATAATAATAATGGTAATAATAATGATAATAAAAATAATAATAATAATGACTGGGGACGTCCTGGCACACTAAAATTAATGATTTTACCTAAAACCTAAAACTATATACAAATGTACGCGATTCAAAATTTACACAAGACACAGCAGTTACTATTATTATATACTGATATGGGTGATAGATAACGAAATTAGTTTTCTTTATATTTAAGGATAGTTTATTAGCGCTTAGCCAGTCACAGACATTAAGTAGTTCCACATTTACAACAGATTCAAGTGATTTTAAATTCCTGGCAGCATATAGCAAATTTGTATCGTCAGCAAATAAGTAAAACCCTAGTTTGTTTGAAGGCTTGTAAATGTCATTAATATAAATCAGAAACAATAGAGGACCCAAAACAGAACCCTGTGGCACACCACAAGAGGTTTTCTCTCTTTTAGAAATATGGGAACCGACCTGAGTGATTTGGGTTCTTCCATTTAAGTATGAACAGAACCATTTATTGAATACACCACGAATTCCGTAATGAGACAGCTTATGGAGTAGGATATGATAATCAACTGTATCAAATGCCTTTTGCAGATCGATGAAAACTCCACATGAAAACATGCCCTTGTCCACGTTTCTTTGAATTCTATTTTCAATGTCTAATATGGCATGTTCCGTTAAACATCTTTAACGAAAACCATATTGATAGTTGTAAAATGTATAATGTTTGTTTAAAAAATAGTTTTAGACGATCCGGAGTACATAATCTTTTCAAAGATTCTGTTGAAGACTGAAAGAAGAAAAATAGGCCGATAATTACTAGGGTCACTTTCATCACCTTCTTTAAAAATGGGGATAATTACAGCATGCTTTAATTTAGCGGGGAAGGATCCCCTCTCAACTGAAATGTTTATGAGTCGCTAGAGGTTTAGCTATTATATGCCGCGCACATTTCAACATACGAGTGGGACAGGACCGCAGTCCGTGCGATTTATTAGACGGGGTCCTCATTAATTCTAATTCAATTTCGGTTGACAGGCAGGACCGGCTCAAAAGCAAACGAGCCATTGAAATTAATTTTGTTGCTATTTGGAATTCTTGATGCGAGTCTAGGCCCTACATAGCCGGCAAAGTTACCGTTTAAGATATTTGCGTGATCAAGTGGGTCCTGAGATAGTTGATCATCATCAAGCCTAATTGAGCCAATTGAGTTTCAATTTTTCTTTTTCCTATTATCTCTCTCTCTCTCGCTCCGTAGGGCGGGTAGGAGAGAACCCTGGGAACGAGGTTGTTAATAAGACTGTTAATGCCATCCCATATTCTTTTTGTATTGTTGATATTGTCTTCAAAATAACTGTGATAGCTGTAACATAATCTTAAATAACAATGTAGCTGTTTATTAATTCATATCAATCTCTCGATTTAACGATTCAACAGAGTTTACTTCACAATTCTCTTCTTTATTCTTCTGTAGGGAAAAGAAATATAAAAGGGTTGCTCGACCAGTTTTACCTTCTCGGTTTCCTTTGAAAATAGGGTTTCATTTTCCGTTTTGGGGCCTTAAAGGAGCTATGTCACGCTATGCGTGCTGTGCTATGTCACGCTATTTGCCACCTTTTCAAAAAGCTAAAACTTTTTTCGCATCAATTGAATTCCAAACCTAATGGTCCAGTTTCATTATTTACGACTGTTTTTAGGCATTCAGTGAAATCATTGCCTGCAGGCTGTTGCAACGAATGGCAACGATGGACATGGATTAAATCTTGAAAAAGCTGGGCTAAGCTTTTCAAGTTTTAATGCTATGCCTGCAAAAATCACCAGAAAGTGAAATAAATATGGTTAGTGCTACCTCATGATATTTGTTCTTTCTTCACTCCCAAGTCTTTGGAAAAGGGCACACATCATGTGGCACCTTTCCTCCCTGATTAGCAGCACAGGTTCATAAAAGGAAGATCTTGTGTAACCCAGCTTTTCCTAACCTACCATCATTGAGTCAAGTGCTTGGTCGGCAGACTGATGTTGTGTTTCTCGATTTCGCTAAAGCGTTTGATCGAGTACCTCATGACATTCTACTTCAGAAATTATTTAATTTTGGCATGAGTGGTTTCCTCCTAAACTGGTGTGCAAACTACTTCTCTGATCGTTATCAGAGAGTCGTCATTGATGACCAGCACTCTTCCTGGTCTAATGTTACATCTAGAGTTCCCCAAGGATCTATCTAGGGCCCACTCTTTTTGTCATTTTCATCGGTAATCTCTCTGATGTCGTCTATCCTGGTAATACCATTGCCCTTTATGCTGACGACTGCAAAACTTCGATGGTAATTGACAATTCTCAAGGTCACGCATTGTTTTAAGAAGACCTTAATAATCTTTGGTCTTGGAGTAAATTGGACAGAATGGATTTTAACATTAAGAAATGCAAAGTAATGAGAATATCTAAAAAGCGCAAGCAGTAGAGAGTGATCTCTGTATGAATGAATCACCTCTTAAAGTGGTCTCCGAATTTAACGACTTGTGTCTGCTCGTCGATAGTAACTTATCTTGGAATATCCTTGAGCACAGTATTGTTTCCAAAGCTATCAAGATGCTGGGCCTAATATCTCGTACCTGTACGGGATTTGCCGACGTCAAAACTCTTAAGACACACTTTGCTCTTTTTTTCTTATCTCAGTTAGAACATGGCTCTGTTGTATGGTCCCCGTTCACCCAACAGAATTGTTAATTAATTTAATTTTCATTTTAAGCCCCCTCCACGTACGAACCTATTAAGGCTAAGTTAGGTTCTGATCAGTGGAACTGGTTATGAATGTACTCTATTTGTCCCATGATTTTCTTGGTATCATCTTTGAAATGGCATTTCAGATAACTGACTATGAGTTTGTTTGTTATGTTTTGTTAAGGACATACCTGCACTGTACTGCCTTAAGGCATTACTGTATGTTGTATTATGAGA